AGGATGACGTCACTATCGTACGGCAAGATGACGTCACTATCGTACGGCAGGATGATGACGTCACGATGGTACGGCAGGATGATGACGTCACGATGGTACGGCAGGATGATGACATCACTATCGTAGGATGATGACGTCACTATCGTAGGATGATGACGTCACTATGGTACGGCAGGATGATGACATCACTATCGTAGGATGATGACGTCACTATCGTAGGATGATGACGTCACTATGGTAGGATGATGACGTCACTATCGTAGGATGATGACGTCACTATGGTACGGCAGGATGATGACATCACTATCGTACGGCAGGATGATGACGTCACTATGGTACGGCAGGATGATGACATCACTATCGTACGGCAGGATGATGACATCACTATGGTACGGCAGGATGACGTCACTATGGTACGGCAGGATGTTGTCACTATGGTACGGCAGGATGACGTCACTATGGTACGGCAAGATGACGTCACTATGGTACGGCAGGATGACGTCACTATCGTACGGCAGGATGACGTCACTATGGTACGGCAGGATGATGTCACTATCGTACGGCAGGATGATGACGTCACTATCGTACGGCAGGATGATGACGTCACTATCGTACGGCAGGATGATGACGTCACTATCGTACGGCAGGATGATGACGTCACTATCGTACGGCAGGATGATGACGTCACTATCGTACGGCAGGATGATGACGTCACTATCGTACGGCAGGATGATGACGTCACTATGGTACGGCAGGATGATGACATCACTATGGTACGGCAGGATGATGACATCACTATCGTACGGCAGGATGATTACATCACTATGGTACGGAAGGATGACGTCACTATGGTACGGAAGGATGACGTCATTATCGTACGGCAGGATGACGTCACTATCGTACGGCAGGATTACTTCAATATCGTACGGCAAGATGACGTCACTATCGTACGGCAAGATGATATCACTATCGTACGGCAAGATGACGTCACTATGGTACGGCAGGATGATGACGTCACGATGGTACGGCAGGATGATGACATCACTATCGTAGGATGATGACGTCACTATCGTAGGAGGATGACGTCACTATGGTACGGCAGGATGATGACATCACTATCGTAGGATGATGACGTCACTATGGTAGGATGATGACGTCACTATCGTAGGATGATGACGTCACTATGGTACGGCAGGATGATGACATCACTATCGTACGGCAGGATGATGACATCACTATGGTACGGCAGGATGACGTCACTATGGTACGGCAGGATGACGTCACTATGGTACGGCAGGATGACGACATCACTATGGTACAGCAGGATGATGACATCACTATGGTACGGCAGGATGACGTCACCATGGTACGGCAGGATGATGACATCACTATGGTACGGCAGGATGACGTCACTATGGTACGGCAGGATGATGACGTCACGATGGTACGGCAGGATGACGTCACTATGGTACGGCAGGATGACGTCACTATGGTACGGCAGGATGACGTCACTATGGTACGGCAGGATGATGACGTCACGATGGTACGGCAGGATGACATCACTATGGTACGGCAGGATGACGTGACTATGGTACGGCAGGATGACGTCACTATGGTACGGCAGGATGATGACGTCACTATGGTACGGCAGGATGACGTCACTATCGTACGGCAGGATGATGACGTCACTATCGTACGGCAGGATGATGACGTCACTATCGTACGGCAGGATGATGACGTCACTATGGTACGGCAGGATGATGACATCACTATGGTACGGCAGGATGATTACATCACTATGG